GTACAGTTTTAGATTAATACATATTATAGACTATTTGTATAGAATTTAATGAAGAGGTTTAGTTTTCTTGAAATTGTATTGAAATTACCAAACTTTGTACAAGTCATTTGCTTGGGCATTTCTGTCTCATTCGCGTTTCTATCTTGAAACAGTTGTGTTTGCATGGCTGTGTTTCGATTTGAAGGGTGGGTTATGGCAGTGAATTTATAGGGTACAGAGGGATAACATCTCAGTCCTCAGGAATGGCAACCCATGGGGGGTATCATGGGAGAAACAGTATACTCTGTTATGTCCATGGTACTGTTAATGTTTATAGGCGACGGTTACCACTTTTTATCAGGTGGATCGTCAGCTTGTTTGCCATTCTAAGTTGCATAAAAAAAATATAAGGCTGGTTTTTTCTGTGGAACATAATCTTAAAATCTTATCAAAATACCCATAAAGACGGATTAAACTAGTGAAATTGTGATGGAAAATGTATGTATATATAATACTAGGGCCGCTAGTCCCGGCTTTGCACGAGTAGACATTTTTACAACATTTTAAAAAGTGATTACCGTGACATAACGTAATAGTTGGACATATAGTATCGCGAAGTTTTTTGTAGTTATTGATATTTCCTTCAATATTGTAGAACATACTTTTGTTCTATCACCAATAGTTTTCGCAGCGCACGCGACCAAAGATACTTTATAGCATTTTTTACACCTTGAGTTACATTACTAAAGTTTTAGTAAAGATCTCTAATCTTTTCTAGCAATAAATATAGCCTACGTTACTCAGAGTGAATGTAGCTTTCTAATGGTGAGAGAATCTTTGAAAGCGGAAATGTAGTTTTTGAGTTTATTTATTACAAACTTGCCATACACACAATAATACAAATCTTTCCTCTTTATAATATTAATATATGTAGTATAGACGTAGATACAGTTCATATTTTTATTAGTCATAATCAAGATGACCTGCGTGCCCCTCCTGTCGATAGTCATAACGAATTCTTAGAAGAAAACTTTAAAGCTACGAGTATCTCCCCTTTAACTCATGTCAAGTTATACAAACGTCAGAATGCGGTGAATACAAATGCGCCGTCGGTCCCCCTGTCAAAGAAAGCGTGATGTTTAAAATTGCAGCGACCACCGGGGTGCATAATTACATGCACTTCGTTATTATAGAAGCCGTGGAATTGTCGTTCGTGTATTTTGTACAGCCTTCAATTGTCTGATATTAAGAGCAAGTGACTATATTGTTTTGTTTTTAATTAATTTATTTATTTCAGACGTACTTTTAGTCCATTTTTTGTTAGTAAGTGTACTTAAACAATTGTATCGTTGTGTTTGTAAATTGTCTTGTTTATTTCCTATATTGTATAATGCAAATAAAGTATACTCATTCATTCATTCATTAAAAACTATGTTAATACTTATTTACCCACTAATAATGATCTAGTCCTTTCGGCGAGCATTCTCACGAAAGGACTTTTTTTTTATGGGTGAAAATGGTATGGTAACCCCGCTTGCGCTAACGGGATACGCTGGCGGAGCACCAGTGTAGGGTGATAGATGAGAATGAAAACAGGCCAGTTAGCCTATCATGATGAATTCATCAGGAATTAACTATGATAGTTTCCAGGGGGAACCGCGAGGATGTCGACCTGGTTGGGTATATTGCTAGCAATGGGATTCTCAGTGTCCATTACTAACAATCCCTTTCCCCCCCTCACGAAAGGACTATCTAATTTATTTCGAAATATGTTCAGGATAACATGTGGTCCCGGCATAAGCCCCAAAGGGAAGCTTATGTTTAGCAATGGACAGTCAAATAATATATTATAATTGAGAAAAGATTTGATTTTTTGTATGTTTGTAAGAGATAAATTGTAAAACTATACAACTATTCAAAGCTACATTATCAGTAAGTAATATAGGCTATATGTTATTATAAAAAAAAGTCTTACGAAAATTAAAATAATGTAATCTAAGGCATTAAAAATTTGCCTAAGAAAGCCCAAAAAAATATTAATTTATCTTTCCGTCTGCTTGTGAGAAGCCGGCGCGGATTGCTAGTACTCACTCTTCAGTCGTACACTCTTGACAGAGTGGTCGTGATTTTTTTTTTACAACACAGTGGGCAAACGAGCATGTGGCTCACCTGATGGTCAGTGACTACCGCCGCCCATGATCACCCACAACACCAACGGCATTGCAGGCGTGCTGCCGGCCTTTTAAAAAGGAATATGCTCTTTTCTTGAAGGTTAAGTTGTCGTATCGGTGATATGATTGTGATGATAGTGGATCGTCGATGAGGCCCTCCTTCGCGACTGAGGTCGTCGCAATGCGTCTCCATCTACTTCTGTTCGCCGCCGAGCGAGAGCATTCCACAATAGACTGCTGCGTGGCCGTTTTGATGAGGTCAGTCTATCGCGTTGGTGATCTACCCGAGAACGTTTGCTTTGTATTGAACCTTGGACAATTAGACGTTCCATACAGTTTTCATTCCGGATGATACGGCCGAAGTACTTGAGAATTCGTATTTGAACAGTCGACGATAATCTCTCTCTGATTTTCAGTTCGTTCAGAATGGAAACGTTAGTTCGGAAAGCAGTCCAAGGTATTTGCAGCATTCGTCGTCAGTACCACATCTCTAGAGCATAATTTTTTTTATTATTAAACTAGCTGACTCAGTAAACGTTGTTTTACTATATACATTATTTCTAGAACTTATACATGGAAATTTATCGTACTAAAATTATTATATTCGATTGCTATCTTGTAACCCTATTGCAGAATATAAAAATCGCGATTAAAAAACAGGGGTTGATCGTAAAAGGGTGAAAATTTAAGATTGTATGTATTTTTTTATGCTAAATCATAATAATAATAAAAAAATTGTTAAAAAATAAAAAAAATATTTAGGAGGTCACCCTTATCATTGAGGGGTATAAAAAATAGATGTTGGCCGATTTTCAGACCTACTCGATATGCACACAAAATTTCATAAAAATCGGTAAAGCCGTTTCGGAGGAGTTTGGTAACAAACACCGCGACACGAGAATTTTATATATTAGATATTGATTTTATACCACAATGGTGGTAAACAAACCTACAGTTATTTTGAAAATTAATTATAATTTCACTTTATGGACAACGAATATACAAAGGGTATTTAGTTCTTATTATGGGTAAATATCTTACTTGAATATTACTCTATCTCTGCTGTAGTTTCCAGGAAAAACCATTACAGGAGGCTCTTTCCATAATCAGAGTGTTCATGGAAGAAAACTTTTCTGATACCGCATTGCACTTGTTACTTCTAAGAACCGAAAGAGTTAAATTGGGGTCGATTCTGAAGCGCCATGCTCTAAGCATATTTTTAAAATTAAAATTTGATGTCATGGAGTAATCTTTATTCAAAGGACTAACTTAAACTAAATTACTAACAGATTTAGACTAAATTATTACAAATTTAGTGTGTGATTGTTCATTAGTATTCATCATCATCATCCTTATCCTAAGCCTTCGACTGCTGGACATAAGCTTCCCAGTACTTCCCGGTATTTCCATCTTAGCGCCTGATTATCCCAAAAGCCACCAAAAGCCACCAAAAGCCCTTTTTTTCTTGAAAATTCCAAATTAATGTAAAGAAAATTTTCAAATTAATGTAAAGAATAATTTTTTTTTAGAAAAACCATAGATGGTTTTTGTCGGAAATTTATTCCAGATTTCAAAACCCTCCTTAATTTCCTTGTGTGATCAGCGGTTGCTGAAATATTGATGGTTAAAGACAAAAAGATCCTTTTCCATTCAAAGTTTGATATCTCAGCAAGAAGTAGTCGTATCGAACTTTGGAAAAAACAAATTAAAACCGAATGAACATGCTATCCGGTCCATATAGTGGTTAAGTTGGAATTTTTTTTTCCAAGTTCGTAGACCGAAGAAATGTCAAAAAAAATTTTTGTTGGTATTCATTAGAACTGAGCGGAACACGTTGCTTGAAAAATTTTTTCATCATAAGATCTCAAAACTAGAAACTTTGAGCATTAAAATCTTTTTTTTTAATTTCAGTATGACCATTTTTGAGGGAAATACAGCTACTTGTAAAACCTCAAAAAATTTGGCATTTTTTGATCCCTTAATTTTTCCCTCTAGTGTAGTTCATCAATATATCCCGGACAAAGTAGTGAGCTGAGCTAGTCAGAAATAAATTAAACTTCAATAATTGAGTCGTTCCAACCAGCTCTTTCATTGTTGCCCACGTATAAATGGTTTTAAAATAAATGCTGCACTTCTCCTTAACTGAAAATTGACGCAGTTAAATGTTTCACTCTACAGTTTACGGGGGACATTGTGAATTTTTTATTACACTTCATTAGAATCTACATTTAAGTTATTACTCTCCAATTACATTTGTGTTGACATCACATTTTTTTTTTATTGAAACGTTTATTAAGTGCTGGCTAGAATCAGCTGTTTTTTTTTTTTGATGGGTGAAAATGGTATGGTAAACCCGCCTGCGCTAACGGGATACGCTGGCGGAGCACCAGTGAAGGGTGATAGATGAGAATAAAAACAGGCCAGTTAGCCCATCATGATCAATTCATCAGGAATTAACCATGATAGTTTCCAGGGGGAACCGCGAGGAGGTCGACCTGGTTGGGTATATTGCTAGCAATGGGATTCTCAGTCTCCATTACTAACAATCCCTTTCCCCTCATAGAAATGGTATTAAAATCGGTTAAGTAGTTTATTTAAAAATTAAGTTATATTGATAAATGATTTTGATATTGAAGTCGTATTTTTTGGGGAACACAATCTTATCTCAGTTAAATTAATAATTTCCACCGGAAAAAATATTTGTTTAGATGAAAGAGATATTTTATTGACTTGCAAAGAAAAATTTATGATTATTATATAAAATCTAGGGATCATCAACACAAACAGGTACCTATCTGGAGCAAGTGAAACTTTTCGCAGTGTGCGGAGATAGTTATTCGGCGTAATCAGGCGTCCCCTTTGATCTCGCCGGCGCTGAGCCGAGCGGCGGCATCAAAGGAATCGCTCCACCAATTACCGACCCAATCGCTGTGTACTTAGTGTACAGAAATGCTGATTAAAATGTTCCTAATTTTATTTATTGCTCTAATTTTCGATTGAAGTGATCCGATAAAAGAATAATGAAGCTCTTGAGATGTCATTTAAGGTTTTCTTATTTATTTGTTTTATATATTACTAAACTAGTTGATCTATATTTCTTTCTTTGTTATTTTTTTTTTCAGTGATATTTCGCGACTCACTTTTGGCCACAACAGAATATCAGTGTTTTGCTCTTTTTAGGGCAAAGCAAAAAGCTGAGTTGTGGCCATTTTGCATTACTGTGGCACACGCATGAAGAAAAAATTTTTATTATGCATTCTGATTTTGTTTTTGGTTTTTTTTTAAATCTTTTGTACATGTATCGTTTTTTATCTTTTTTCACTTTGCATTTGTCTTTTGCTGTTTGTGTGCTGTAAGTGATGCAAATAAATTATCTATCTATCTATCTATCTATCTAGTTTAAAAAAAATAAGAGATACAATAAAATATTATTACGAAGTGGTACTAAAGGCTTTATTACTATGCAATGTTTATCTTTGATACCTAAAAAAAGGTAACAAAGTTTATGGTATGATTATACTTATTCAGCTATCTGTCCTCCACCTACCAACTTTTCACCACCGTACAATCTGCCACAAACTAAAGTTTCATCCCAATCATCTGGACGAGTGGCGGTCTTCCACCGTGCACGTTCTTCCACGCACAACCATTCTTTGGAATCAACTTCCAGCAGCAGTATTTCCGAACCGATACGACAATGTAACCTTCAAGAAAAGAGTATATTCCTTTTTTAAAAGGCCGGCAGCACACTTGCAATGCCGCTGGTGCTGTGGGTGATCATGGGCGGCGGTAGTCACTTACCATCAGGTGAGCCGCATGCTCGTTTGCCCCCTGTGTTGTAAAAAAAAAACCAATATCCATTTAACAGATTTTCTAGTCCTTATACTACCTTAGTGGTGCGCGAATCCGAATGATTTTGTTGTTCGAATAATTAGTAATTACAAATTTTTTTATGCAACTTAGAATGGCAAACAAGCTGACGACCCACCTGATGGAAAGTGGTAACCGTCGGCTATAGACATGAGCAGTACCATGGACATAACAGAGTATACTGTTTCGCCCATGATATCCCCCATGCGTTGCCATTCCTGAGGACTCAGGTGTTATTCCTCTGTACCCAGTAAATTCACGTCATATCCCATCCTTCAAACCGAAACACAGTCATGCAAACACAGCTGCTTCATGGTAGAAACACGAATGGGACAGAGGTACCCAAGCAATCGATTTTTGTACAAAGTCTCCTTCTGTGACTGTATCAGTGACTGTAATTTACAGTACAGTAAAGCGATTTTGGTAAAATTTCTATAAGTAATCTATAAGTATACCTTTCAGATAAACGAATTTTCCAAATCGCTTTGTAGCTAACGGAGTTATGAGGTAACAAACTTAAAAAAACTTTAAAATATTAAATTAAATGGTCGAGGGATGGGAAGCAGCGTCCCTCTTAAAACAATTGTCAACCCACTTGCCAAGTGTGGCAACTACTGGCAATACCTCTCAATAGCAAAAGCAGTCTACGACAGAGGCTTATTCAACAGTGTAAAAATGGCTGATATGATATGATGACGAATAAAAAAAAATAGAACTCAGTCGAGAATCTCCCTCCTTCGAAGTTGGTTGAAAACTATATAAAATAAATACTATACACACGTCAACCGACGCTTATACCTTAAATCGGTCAGACAGTTGTATATTGGATATACCCGAATGCTGTACGGGCGAGATTTTTCATATTATAAAATTTCAACGTAGTCCTTGGTACAATTTACGAACTGTTTTACTTCTGTAAATACTATTTTCTCAAACATGCTTGGAAATGTGAGCATTATTTTGACAATCTTCTTCGAGATAAATCAAAATTGCCGTACTGGCCAGATACATGCGGGCAGCGGCCGGCAAAAGTTGTATGAAAATCCATATCTGTCGTGTTTTGCGGCCAGATAAATTACTATGTAAACTCATATCTGTCCTGTAATTTAAAAATGGAATGACCTTTTACTTCGAAACATGGCTACCAAGGAAGTAACTAATAAAAGGTTTTATTTAAATTTCGAACTGGCTTGCAAATAGAAAGCTGTTTATTGAAAAAAAAAAACAAAGGAACATTATGGCGCGTGAAAAAATATTATTGTTCGTTATTCGTCATTGAACTTAAAAAGTAAAATTGTGTTTTTGATTTTCGCGCATTGTTTGAGAAAAGTACTATACAAGCCTTGGCCACAACTAGGCATTGATGGACTCACGTATGTGTGCCTCGGCTACGCCTCCACCCACATTTGCACGTTTGTCCATCAATGCCTCAATTGCTGGCCGCTGCAGTAATGTACTATTTTTGCTACAGAATTGAATTTTTTTATTATATCTTTTAATGTTTAATGTGAAAGGGAGGCGATTCGAAATACAACGATGGCATTTATGAGACTAAACTTTTTGCAGGGACCCCTAGAGGGTCGAAACATGAAAACAATTTTTGGACTTTAACGAATTCATTACAATTCGATTTAATATTTTATATAACATAAAATATGTATTGATTAGGTACACACTTCTTTCTAATTCAATATTTTTATTGTAATCTCTCAATTGCATTTTGTATATTAGTTCTGTTAATAGATTTATAATTTGAGTTACAATTAAATGACAGTATTACTACATGATTATATTATAGATGGCGCTACAAGTAGAAATATATCATTAGTCTATGGCGTGTTAAAAGTTGATGATTTGACATTTATATAACATTATACAATACGAGTGGTGGTCCCCCACCATGCGTTTTTCAAGGCACTTTCTTCCACGCACAACCACCTTTTGGAATCAACTTCCAGCAGCAGTATTTCCGAACCGATACGACATTATAACCTTCAAAAAAAGAGCATATTCCTTTTTAAAAGGCCGGCAGCACACTTGTAATGCCGCTGGTGTTGTGGGTGATCATGGGCGGCGGTAGTCACTTACCATCAGGTGAGCCGCATGCTCGTTTGCCCCCTGTGTTGTAAAAAAATAACCTATTTTGATTTTTATATAAAACCTTGGACGTAGTTAAGAAAAGAATCCATTTAGAAACATTACTATAGGACATAATAATTTAAGACATTTCATGATTCAAGAAACCAGCGAGCGTGTATGAAAAGATTAATGAATGTGGAAGAAGCGAAAGAGGTTTGTTTGAATCGAAGCATTTGGCGTTCCATTGTTTCTGCCTACCCTAATGGGAGACAAGTGTGACAGATATGTATGTATGATTCAAGAAGATGGCAATTATGAAAATTATTCGCGAATATAAAATTTCATACAAACTTTAATAATTTAAAATTTGGCGGCATGGTTTTTGACCTTAGCCTGTTCCAAAAGGATCGAGTATATAAAAAAATACGAATATGTCAATTTTCTTTTATTGTTTATGTATATATGGTCGGGACTAATAATAGTAACGTGGGGGGAAAGGGATTTTTAATACTTGCTAGCAATATACCCAACCAGGTCGACCTCCTCACGGTTCTTCCTGGAAACTATCATGGTTAATTCCTGATGAATTCATCATGATGGGCTAACTGGCCTGTTTTCATTCTCATCTATCACCCTACACGGGGCACCAATGAAGGATGATAGGTGAGAATGAAGCAGGTTAGTTAGCCCATCGTGACGAATTCAACAAGAATTGTTCACGATGGTTTCCAGGAGGAATCACGTGGAGGTCGACCTAATAGGGCATATTGCTAGCAATGGGGCTGTCAAACTCCATTGTTAACAATCCCTTTCCCCCCTATGGATGATTATTATATGATTGTTTTGGATGAAAGGTAAAGGTATAAACTGTAAGCGTCCCTTATTCCATAACTTGCCCCAAACGTAGCACTCGACCGATATATTTATTGAATCGGTCAAAACTGCCAGTGACGGATACTCGCTTTGATGTGACGAAAAAGGATTGTCTTATCCACTTCGATGCTTTCCATTTTGTTTCGGCAGCGGTTTTTTAAACTAAACGGGACTACAAGTAAAATGTATTTTCCACGCCTGGTGTCAGGATTTCAGCGTTTGTTATTCACTTGGGTTATTGTGTTTGGCGAGACAACTGTGGGAGTTAAAATGATGTAATGTTAGAAGTTTGTGTTTCACAAAAAAAAAATGATTTCAATTTTGGCAACACTAGTTATTTTGATATTAAAATTAAATTACTGAACCGATTTTGATACAATCTTTATGGGATTAATCGGTAATTATACCGCCGTGTGGTCCCGATATAGAATGAAAATAGTACCTTTTTGAAACTCACTATCGTAACCTTCGTTCCAATAATACTCTCCAACTATCTTTCCCCTCTCACCGTACTGGTTACGCTTCAAATTCTTTTCTCCTACATTCTTCACGACTCTGGAACGCGCTTCCTGATACCATTAAGAGACTACCGACTAAACCGTTTTACAAAAAAAAAAAAAACGTTCACGCTCACTTTTTTACTTTATCCGACCAATAGAATAGAGAATAGAGTCCCGGCATAGAATGCCTATTCTTTCCCTTACTTTCTCGTGGATTTAGTAACAGGCGACTAATTCAGCAGCGTCCTTCTTAAAACATCTTCAAAGCCTGACTGCGGTTGCCAATCTGCCTACCAAGCGTGGCAACTATTGGTAAAACCCCTCAAGAAGGAGGCTTATGTTTAGCAGTGGATATATGATGATGATATGATGATGATGAAATTAATTATCATACCACCATTGGTTGAAGCGTCAATGGGACGGTCAAAGTGGTTTTGTGACAATAACTTCTTAATTGTAAGCCTGAATGTGGCCGAACTGCAGTTACGATTGTGGTTTCGAGCAGCGAACCATTGGATCTGATTCCGAACTGTATCGGTACATCATTCTCACATCACTTAATAGATATTCTATATAGAGTTGCATGATTAGCAGAAGTAAATCCGTTAACCACTAACTCCTTAAGGAATGGTTGTGGA